TCTTTGCTTCACAAGCTCTAGTGCATCCCTACTGTCACCTTAAAGAGTACCTGTCACCTCCAATGGGCTTGTAAGGTTCCCTATGTGAGCAATTAAGTAGCATGGACTAGAGTGAGAGCAATAATTCTAGGGCAATATTCCCAGTTAAATCTAAACTGATGGACTGTACAGGCTCTGCCTATGGACAATTCAGGGTACCAAATGTTTTTCCATTTTACGGGGGGTGCACACAATTTTTCAGCTTGGCATGTTTGGTATCCATTTACTTGCCACAAATTCATCTTTTATATTTTACAAAAAAAATGACTGTTATGTTGTGTTTTTGTGCACTGAAAGTAATTTAAGTGTGTTTTTTTACTGAAAGTTTGGGCTTGATAAAGAGTTGGGCTAATATTATGTGACATCAAAATTCGCAACTGCCACCATTATATTCTACATCAGTGGTGCCCATTAGGTCAATCGCGATCTACCAGTCTATCGCAAAGCGATCCCTGGTAGATCGCGATGTCCTGTCCTCCTGCCATGGGGCTTCTCTGGATCCCCACTGCTCTCCCCATCTGTATGCAGCGGGGATCCAGGAGGAGAAGTGAACAAAGCGCTGCAGGTGGTGGTGGGGGGCGGAGGACGGAGCCGCTGTTTTTTTATTTTAAAAGGGAAATATCAGGGGGCTGTTTAGACACCTAATATTTCCCCCGAAGCCCCCCAACACTAAAAAAAAAAAATATTAAATTCAAAAAAAATTTATTAAATAAGAAATAATAAAAAATAGTTAAAAAAAATCCTGGAGGTAGGGCGCTGGGTGATGTCACACGCCTGTTATGCTCCCGCGGTGCTCGTGTGGCTGCCGGCTTAATGTGTTAGGCTGGGCACACACCTTACAACCATCGCAAGACTTTTGTCTTGCGATGGTTGTAAGGTACTTAAAAAAACGTATGATCTGCCTATCTTGCATAGGCAGATCGTACTTGCGATGATCGCAAGCCACGCCCCCTAAGGGGCGGGCTTACGATGACCGCAATGCCGAACGGGCAGTGTGCGCTTGCGCACACCAGCCTGTACGGCTGTTATCGTACGGACATGCCACAAACCCGCCGAACGTCGTACGATGCTCGGCGGGTTTTCGAACATGTCCGTAAGTTCAAAGTCGTGCGACCTTACAGTAGTAGAGGTCGCACGGCTTCCACACACCTTACGATAATCGTACGATCGTGGGATTTCCCGCGATTATCGTACGATTATCGTAAGGTGTGTGGGGACCTTAAGACGCCGCAGACGGAAAGGGGCAAGACACATCTCCCCATGTGCAACGTCGGCCACTTTCGGCCACACAAGCACCGCGGGTGGACAGGACGGCGGCGCCTCTAGAACGCACTGGAACGCAACCCGGCCGACTCCCTGCGTTCAGGGGCAGGTTATTTACATGCAGTCATGCCCCCCGCCCACAGTGCGATTACCTGCCTGCATTCCGGTCCAGTGCAATCTGCAAAAATAGTGCTTGGAGCATTTTTATAGATCGCACTGGACCGGAACGCAGGCACCAATTTTCGGTCAATCGCACTGCATGTGAGGGGCGTGGCTAGGGTGCCATTCACTTCAATGCTTCCACCCCACCCCCCTGAATGCAGGTGTTTTTTCGTTGGTTGATCTCATTGAGCTTGTCATTTGAAAAGTAGATCGCGAACGAAAAATTGTGGGTGCCACTGTTCTACATGGTCTCTGCTTTCAGTAAATATATAATATATTAAATAGTATAATATATTAAATAATTTTCAGGCCTAAAATGTGGATTATATTGTGTGCAAAATATGCAAAAACCACTCTGGCAGTGAAAGGGTTCCAGTGGATCTGTGCCTGGTCCACACAGGCCAAAGCAGCACATTAACTTAGCCCTTTGCTGCAGTACATATTACCAAAGATATATATCTTCCCTGCATACCAGTCTGAAAGTTTCAGCAGCATCCCACAAAATCATAATCACACACAGGAGGTGATTCACTTTGCAGGAGACATATGATAACATATTAGTAAATGGTACACAGCTTGATAATAAACATTATATAGTACAACACTTTCCTTTTCCTAATTTGTATGACTGGCAGTTTTCATTCCCAAATATGTCATTGTATGGCGTTATATAGAGACTCAGGCAGATTGTGACATATATTTTGTGTGCATGAATTACACCATCATGTCTTTAATTCCTCAAAACAATCTGAAATTTCTCAGAAATGATGAGCCAGTTAGAATAATAAGAGGACGGTAAGACAGATCTCAGTGCAATGCACGCCATCCTCAGCCGTAATTTAATTGGTAGATTATACGGTCTGTATAGTGGGTACCATCAATCACCAATGGCTGAGCCGGTCCAATGAATTGCACTATGCGGGCTGTAGTGGTGCTGATTGAATTGTGTTGTATAGTGAATTCTATTTGGAATGTAACATCCTTGCCAAGACGCTCAAAAATACAGTTAAATCTCAGGAGAAAAAGTGAAAGGGGAAAATGTTCAGGTCAGAGGTCACAACATTATTGATATAAATAAGCACACATATTACACAAGAGTTATTCTCATGTCTCTGCCGTTAAATATAAAGTAGAAGTAAATATAATTGTAATCATGTTAAAAAGTTTAGCATATAAGTTTTAACATGTAAATAACATTTCAGAAGTAATTTTTATTATTTTTAAATCTGCAGCTTTCATTAAAGTGCACCTGTGCCCAGACTATGGATTTTAAACTACAGTAAACTCCCCATGATCCGGCACTCTCAAGCAACTGGCCAACAAAACAAAAAAATTGAGGACATACAGTACAAACTAAAAAAAAATTTTGTTAGCAACTAAACATTTTAAGTTGCTAACAAAATTCTCTGCTTACATCTTGATGCCAGCCTGCGGCTAGATTCTACAGTCAGCAGCTGAATGTAAACAGTATGGAGCAATAGCACATCTGCTATTGGCTATCTCAAATTGCAATAGCCAATAGCAGGCTGCCTATTGCACCCGCCCACTGAGCAGAGGAGCAGACCTGAGAGAGAACTTTCTCTCGTATGTAAAAGCACTTTAGTGGTGACAGGTAGTCTTTCAGGAGCCACCCCTAATATCACCTTTGCAGCACTTTGAAGCTGATCAGCCACAGATTGCGCTTAATCGGCTTCTTCCCCGACCAGGGAATGACAGCTCAGAAACTGGAAGTGATTAAATCATCATCGCTTCTGGGTTTGTTGAGCCGGAAGGAGATCAGCGAAAAGATGTTTTCTGGTCTCTCCGTTAACCTCCACTGCCACCCGTGATGTCACTCCCAGGCCCACAGTAGGGACAGTAGAGCCCGGTGGGGGACATGTGCACCATCCAGTGGAAGTGATCAAGCAGCTATACAGTTGCCCCATTCACTTCCAAAATATAGCCGACAGTCAGCTTTACACATGTAAACAGACTGCTGGTAGCTATCTGCTTACAGGGGCCCACGGCTGATGACGTATCAGGGTTAAAAGTGTAACTTTCAGAAAAATCAGCAATCACGTATGAATTGTTTGGCTCCTGTTCTATATCTCCTGTTCATTCTCTATATTTGTATTTTGTAATGCTCACTTGATTTTGTTTATCTTACAGGCTCCCTCTACCCTCCAGCCAAACCTTCGGTAACAATCTTCAAAATCACGTTCTGGCTGGGTTATTTTAACAGCTGCATCAATCCTGTTATCTACCCATGTTCCAGCCGTGAGTTCCGGAAGGCCTTCCAGAACATTCTGCACGGCCGCTGCTCACATCGGAGGCAGGCCTCAAGTAAGTACTCATCAGGGTTCATACTGAGCAGTCCGGTCCACCGCAGTCCAGACGAGCACAGAGAAGTGGTGAGGATCCCGGTGGGTTCTGGAGAGACATTCTACAAGATCACAAAGTCTGATGGAATGTGCGAATGGAAATATTTTTCTCCGGTCCCCAGCCCGTCCTCTCCCTATGGAGATCCAAAGGACTTTACAAACTGCTCGACGGCCAGAGTGAGCAGCAAGTCGATTTTGCGGACCTGCTGTTGCATTGGTACAGAGCCGCCACGTACGCACTATAACATCCCCACCATTAAAATACATACTATCTCTGTGAGTGAAAATGGGGAGCCTGTCTAAGCTCGGGAGATCAAGGCTGTGGACATTTCACCTTGTACCCTCAGTCGTATGGTTCATGCAGAGCGCAAGTCACATGACCATACATGACTGTTTGACCTGTCTGTGCAAGTTCCCAGGTTTGATTCCAGCCAGCACCATTACATTCCATTCTATCTGAGCCTCGTTTTATCGCTTGTTAAGGACTAACTGAGAACTATTCCCTCCAACATGTGGAACCTCAACTGATGACTATTGCTGCTATAACAGCACCTTGGATGTAAATGCATGAATTGAAACATTGCCTAATAAGCCTCCATGGTGCTATGTAAATGCAAAATAAAAGGAAGAAGTGGGGAATGAAAAGGAATGCCAAATACAGTCATATTTATGCAGTGGTTGTGTGTGCGAGATTTCTGCAGAGCTGACGTGTTGTGCAATGTGAACAGGTGGAAAATGACGGATAAGGGTTCAGAATTTGTAATGGTCCATCTGCGGTGGGCTTGTAATAGCTACATCATACAATAGGAACAACTAGTAAAAGGTAGCGCACCACTGTGCAGGTTAGATGCTAAAACTGGCTAGTGAAAAAGGAAAAGAAGGATATTTAAACCCAAAAACACACTTTTTATATATTGCAGCTTAGATGTGGTAGGTGTATGAGTTTCCTTTTTCAGGGTAAATAAATTTTTTGCAAGTTCAGGAAAAGACCTTTTTCTACTGACAAAAATCCAGTATCCTTGTAACACCCTGTGTACTGAGCCAAGATCTCAAACAATGTTATCAGCTTTCTTAGCTATCTTTTGTGAAATACAAAGCAACGTCCCCCTATGTAAGAAGTTGTGGAGGTGCCTGTAGTCCAGGCAGGGTGAGCAGTCTAGGGTGGCAATGCTGCTGTTCTATAGATACAGTGCAGTGACTGAGCATTGTGACCCTAGGACAGGAGGTGTGTTATTGATACAGTACAATGAGTGTGCATTGTCACCCTAAGTGTTCATTTAATAAGAACAATGTCAAGTGACATGGTTTTAATTAGGGATGCACCGATACCGATACTAATATTGATATCAGTGCCGATTCCGAGTATTTGGGCAAGTACTCGTACTCGCCCAAATGCTCCGATGCCTAGCACGAGTACTTCCGGTATCAGGAAGCCGGGCAGCGCGATTTACCGGAAGCTGGCCTCATGAGGTAAGGTTACCTTACCTTAGTATGTGTAGCCTGTCATCCCCCGGGGCCTCTCCAGCGAAAACGCTGCCTTCGTCCGGTACCCAGCTGGAGCGTCCAATCACGAAGCCGGACGCCGTGTACTGACGCATCGCCCTGCTTTCTGATTGGCCGGGAAGCTGGCTTCATGCTCCCTCGTCATCTCATGACAAGAGAGCATGGAGCCGGCCAATCAGAAAGCAGGGCGATGCGTCAGTACACGGCGTCCGGCTTCGTGATTGGACGCTCCAGCTGGGTACCGGACGAAGGCAGCGTTTTCGCTGGAGAGGCCCCGGGGGATGACAGGCTGCACATACTAAGGTAAGAGGGAACTTTTTTGTTAATCGGGAATCCGGGTGGCGACTCTTTACACGCTGCCCGGCTAATCAGGAAGCCAGGTGGCGAGTCATTACACGCCACCTGGCTTCCTGAATGGGACTTCCGTTACTCGGTAATTGGTATCGGCGAGTACCGAAAAAAAATTATCGGTACTCGTACTCGGTACCAAAATACCGGTATCGGTACATCCCTAGTTTTAATTAAATGAACACACGGTTATCCTGAAACGATTTTTGGTGTGCTGGTGACATTTTTTTGATCTTCCACTCTTGTTAGTATTCATTTATCGACTTAATCTTATTGTTAACTGAAAAATAAAATTGATCTGCACTAGGAGAAGGCGCCCCTCTCGTTTTTGTCTTGTAGTGTCTATAGTCTCCCCGACTGTTTTTGGAGCATAGATGCCAATACATCCACTTTGTCGTAAAGACTATATATGATAATCCCTGGCGCTTCTTTTTTGCATTTTTTTTGTTTGTTGCCCTACATTTCTTCAAGTGATTCATGCAACTAGCGGCGCAATCGGCAGTCACAGCAAGCACCCTCCCCTGTCTTTGGGGTATCCGGTAAGGAGTGCAGCAAGTCTTCTATATATATTGTCACCCCAAGTGTGTCACTGGCACCAGCGGGAAAAAAAGCATAATTATCACTTTATTAGTAATAGTAGAACCCTAACTCATAACAAACAATCCAAACTATAATCCAAACAGAAAATCCTCTGCCTTGCATCATAATAAATATGCCATGAAATGATAATAAGCATGTATTAATAAATACAGTTATACATCCAAGGGGAGTACAAACAGGTCACCCACACCTGAGGACCTGGGTCACTCATTGTACTGTATCTATGGAGGAGCAACATTGTCACCCTATTGTGTTCACACCTGATTTGGTCTTCAGAACACCTCTTCCTGTTCTCATCTCATTACAGAGGGGGTGATATTCTGTAGTTCATAGAGGTGAACTGAGAAGGACTGATAACACTGCTTTGAGATTTTAGTGCAGCCGACGCAGAATGCACAGGAAGTTACGAGCTCACTGGATTTCATGGATTTTCTTTGCACTTAACAAACAGATATAAATTTTCCAATGGAATATCTATAAACAATGGAGACAAATATACCGTATTTTGCGCTCCATAAGGGGCACCTGACCATAGGACGCAGGGAGGGTAGGGTTGTGACAGCTGTAGTTAGTGACAGCTGAGACAGGTGGCGTTGTGATTACAGCACCACGGTCTCAGTGATCACACAGAGCAGACAAAGAACGGACGTTCTTCATGCTCTACGGGCTCTATGGTGAGCTCCTATGCCGTGGTCATGGGACCCTGAAAACAGCAGCGGGGGTGGGGTGGGCCGGACAGGATCGCCGCTGCTACTTTCATACAAGTGATCTAATCAGATCACTTGTATGAAAACGAGCGGCGGCTCCACACTATACATTTAGCTCTGCTTGTCAGGAGCAGGGCTAAATGTACAAAGAAACTACTCGCCCGGCGCCCGAAACTGCATGTCCCGGGCATCGGGCAATAGGGATTTTCACACATTCGCTCCATAAGACGCACAGACATTTTTGCCTGCCTTGTGGGGGGAAAAAAGTGCGTCTTATGGAGCGAAAAAAACAGTAATTCATATAGTTTAAGACATAGTTCTGCCATACCTCCCAACTGTCCCTGATTTGGAGGGATTGTCCCTCTTTTCTCCTCAGTTGTCCTTATTTTTGGTCTGATGTACAGATATCTATGAAAAGGTTTTATTTAACTACTAAAAGTGTTATTCTGCACTAAAAACTTAATCTTATCTCTTAATTATCTTGTTTACTATTTTGAAAAGCCAGTATAAAGGAAAAGTAATGGTGGAAAACAAATCTTAATGGTCCGCATAACTGGGGACGTGGCAGGGATGCGTCCATTGCCTAAATACCTTGTGCATGAAAATGTCCCTCTTTTCATCTCATAAAGTTGATTTGGGAGAGTTGGGTTATGAGGGTATATGAGTTCTGCTATTTGCAGAATTTTACAATGACCACCATGGCTCCAGAAAGTGTCAGTGGAGCAGAGCCAGCCAATGGAAGTCCCAAACTTGCAAATTAGATCATGTAACCCAGAAAAGCACAATGGTATTGCATCCCCTCCTTATAGCCTAGGTGCATACAGTTATGTTTCAACTAGTAAAGAACTGGAAGCCTGACTTGTATTTATAGCACTATTGGACTGATACTGAAAAAAAAAATGTTTTTGCTTTAAATTAGACATTTTTCCACAACTCTAAATAAAGATATAAATTGTAGCCTTAGTAAGAAGTGAATAGAAACAAAACATTTCTATCATTTTTTTATTTGGACAGAGTAGTGTACAGTGTGTCCTATTAGTGAGATTGTTCCTTCATTTCCTGCCTCAATACACAACAGGAAGTGGGAGGAGATATCTCTAGAAGGGAAAGCCTTCCAGACAGTTGTCACCTTTTGGAGAATTTTCCATCTATCCTTATTCTGGTGACAATTCAGAAATTTAGATTTTCTGTCACTTTGAGTTCAGGGTTTTAACCCTTCCACAATATATTCAAAATGGAATAAAATATTTTGCCTTTCATAATAACTCACTAAAACTGCTGTCTTCAAACTCCTCTTACAGTCTAAAGTGTTTGAGATAATTGGAATGCCTAAGTTCCTATGTACTGCTAAGTCTAAATGATAAAATATACTAAAATACTGAAATGCATTATAAACTTGGCTTCCAGTCTTGTACCAGTGCCATCTTATTACTATTATTGCTCCATTGTGCTTAGTAAGCTCTAGTCACATGCAGCAATATAGCCTGGTATACATTATGTGCCTTGTCTGGGTTTTTTTTGTTGGGTTTTTTTTGTCCCAGACCATCATTGTAGAGATTCATTTTGGTGGAAAAAAAATATATTGTTTTTGGTATGTGAAATGTATATATAAAAAGAAACTACAAAGTCAAGTCCAAGTTCATGAAAAGGCCACACAGCCTAGGGCGGTGAAATATTTTATACGAATCCTTTGTCAGTATTATTTCTTTTTTACAAAGGTTTTTAAACAAAGACAGTTAGAATGTGACATTTAATTTGATGTAGAATGCACATATTTATTTTATATATGAAGTACATGGATATAGTAAGAAGTATATATTCAAGGAGTACATGGATGACTCAGTGGCACATTTGCTTACAATAATGATTCAAATGAAACAGTGATGAAGTTAAAGCCAAACACCATCAGAAAAATGATCAGTTACACACCATACTGGATGTGTAAATTATCAGTAAAAAGCTGTATGTTATGTGTGGAGGGCTGCTGAAAAGTATAACATCTTATCTTGTAGCATGCCGGCTTCTGCACATAATGCTGGGTTTCCGGGCACTGAGAGGAGTGAGAGATGTGGCTCAAGCAGTGAAGTGCTCCGGTCGCATCCCGGCCCCTCCTCACTACTTGCCCATTGACGAAAAGCCAATTTTTTTTTCAAAGAATACAAGGCAGTCTGTGATTGGAGAAGAAATTATGTCACATCCCCTCCTCTAATTATTTAATCACAGAACGCCTTGTATTCTTTGAGAAAAATAGTCTTTTTTGTGAATGGGCAAGTAGTGCCTGGAAGGACTGTGTTATGTGCATGCTGCAACAGCCCTTCACGCTCCACACTTCTTCCCCGCGCGGTGTGTGAATGAGTTTGGCTTTAAAGCTGAACTCCAAGCAGATGTAAAAAAAAAAAACACCAGTGATTTCAGTTATGTATGTAATAAAAATAATGTATTTATTTTTCATTGTAGTCAGTGTTAATACCTGAATTTGACT